AAATTAGCAAAAGGAAGAGCAATTGCTGAAGCTGTATAAATTGCTGTTGCTGTTGCTAGCTACTGCTGCTGCTGTAGCAATTGCCTGCCTGCGATAGGCCACATATGAATGTGCCATTAATCAGGCTAAACAAAATGTTTACAAAATGTAACAGCAGGCGGGCAGCAGCTAATTCAAAGAGCCGACAACAGCAGCAGCAGCAGCAGCAGCAGCAGCAGCAGCAGCAGCAACAGCAGCAACTGCTGCATGCCGGCGAAAAATGGTTTTTAATGTTGGCCGCTTTTTTGCAAATTCGCGCACCAAAAATGTGCTGCAAATATGTTAAAATCTTGTTGCATGGAATTTATGAATGAAAAGTCAGCGGCCAAAAGAGCCACAGAGAGCCAACTTATTGTTGGCAACATAACAAGCAACAAGCTGAGAACAATGCGGGGAAAACACTGCATGGAGCCCAGCGAGATTGTTGCCCGTTGCTGCTAGCCATAAATTTGTGAACAGCAACAGCAAGAGCAACAGCCACAGCCAAGTGCAACGCTCGAGCGTGAATTGGCAGACAGCATTTGCAACTTGGCCAAAATGGAAAATGCAACAACAACAACAAAACAGCAGCAATTGCTTTTGTTAAGCTTTTTTTGTTTTTGTTTTTGTTTTGGGGGGCGTCGTTGTTGTCATTAACCGGGCGCAGCTTGGCTGTCTTGTCTATTTGCTTAGACGCGGCAGCCAACAGTTGTTGCTGTCGCAGCAGCTAATAAAGCGCTCACTTCCTCGAGCCAGCATTATTTATGGCCAGCGTCCACAAGCGGGCGGGCCCTTAGCCCTAGCCACCCGCTGTGGGCGTGGCAGTGCCATAATTTATCATAGCAAAAGGCAAAAGTTTTTTGGTTACTTTTTTTCTGCAGAAACTGAAAACTATTTTCCACCTTTTTTTCATATATTTCCTTTTTTTTTTTGCTGTCGCGCTCCCACACAAATCAGGCAAAAAATCATTGCTTTGGCCAGACGAATAGGTTGACTTTGGTCTCTCAGTCGCGTTTATCAAATGCGTTATCTTTTCCCACGTTTTAAATGCTCAACTGTCAAATGAATTAAATGAGCAGGCAGCAGCCGCGCAATTTGAATTAAGATCAACAAAAACGCACTTTGGCAACGGCACCACAAACCAGTTTCAATTGCGCGCAGCCAACACAGGTGGACACACCGCCAGAGATATGCTGTGATATGCAACAACAGCATGAGTTAAAGCTAAAGCTATAGTCACAACAACAACAGTGGCTGCTTGTGTGTGTGTGTATTAGAAAGCCTGAACATTTGGCCGCTGGGGCGCATCTGTTGGCTGTCGACTGGCCATCAATTGTGGTTCTCTCTCACAGCCACGCATAAATTATATTCCCAAGTGACATATTGCGGAAGTGATCAAGCAAGAAGAATAAGCAGCAGCAGCAGAAGCCGCAGCAGCACAAGTGTTGTGCCATCTGACTAGAAGCTAGCTGCAAAGTAGGTTAAAAGGATAATGCAGACGAGCTATATAAGCGAAATGCAGCATAGACGAAGTTCTATTGCTCTCCGAGGTGTAAAGAGGTATTCTTGTATAGGTGAGATCTTTTGCTCTCTGAGATGTGAAGCTAAAATCAGCTATAATTCTCTGCTTTATAATGAGAGCAGATGTATCAATTTGAGGTAATTATGTGTTATGTATCAGTGATTCATTTTAATCATGCAATCTGATTAACTTTGATTTAAGTACATCTAGTAGTCATCCCAATTATCTGTACCTAGTTTGTGCCACAGAGCTTTAATATAAGCCGAGTTCTTATAGGTCACATATGATATACCATACACTGTTAAGCTTTAGTACATCATATACGACAATTACATTCAAATGTCGTATATGATGTACTGATGTATGAATACAAACCCTAAAAAACTCATAATACCCTTTGCCTGCTATAGGGTATACATATGTAATACAAAAAGTCTGGCTAAGAAGACAGATCTCTTGGTAACGGCTGCTGCTGCTGTGGCTGTGACTGTGGCTGCTGCTGCTGCTGCTGCTGCTTCAAGTGACACAGTGACATGCTAATTTCTCGTTTTTTTTTGCTGCTGTGGCTGTTGTTTGCCATATTTGTCCATATGAAAGTGGTACAAATTGATGCGAGAGCCACAGAAACCAAATGGAGCGACGAGAAGGAGCAGCAGGGGCACTTGCGATTGCGATTGCCATGACATAAGGCTGATTGACATTTGACAGACTGTCCAACAGTCCATCTCTAGCTGTCTGTCCTGCCAGACAGTTGACTACACTTTTACTCTCGTGCGTGGCTTTATTTTACATCTTTTTTTTTTTTTTTTTTGCCTTTTGCGTTTTGCTCTTTGCATAAATATTTGTGGCCATGCGAGTGGGGGGAAGTCGAGCTCGTTTTTCGAGGTGTTCTCCTTAAGAAAAAAAAAAAAATATATTTATACTTATATATATATTTATAGCAGCTGGTATTAATTTTCTAGCCTCTTGCATTTTCGCTCATATTATATAATTTATAAAAACCTGTCAAAACATATTTTCAATGCAAAGCTGACAATTGAGATGCTGCTGGCTAATAGCTGTTGGACAAGTAGAGTTGAAAGTGGCAGAAAGTATGTTTGTAAAAGTAATAAAATTATATTTTCGCTATGATATATTAGTTTCTGATATATTGCCATATATATTGTAACTAATTGACGCGTTTTTTTTTTAAATCTGTTAATATTTTATATTTCATTTTGCTGCATGCATAGAGTCGTTTTTTGTTTGTTTAGTAACTGCCTCGACAATATTTTATTATTGAGCGCATTTTTTGCGCTTGGTTTCTCTTGCGTAACAGCTGACAGATAGCAAAAGCATAAACGCGAACTTCAAACCAAACCACCAAAAACTAAAAGGAAATAATAATACAAATAAATACTGTTCAGCATCTCAATATATATATGTATATACAAATCAGACTTAGATCGGGTCAAGCATTAGCTAAGCTATGCAAAAATCGCAGCTCGACGCTCAATTGAAGCGCTTCGCCCCTGTACCCAATTTCAAATCGAACCGTGTGCCGCTCGATTGCGCATTCAATCGAAATTGAAAATGAAAATCCAAATGAAAATAAAACAAGCTCAAAAATCAAAGTAACAAATAGTAAACTTAACTTTGCGTCAATGTCAATGATCTGTCAGAGCGCGGAGCTCACTAGCGATTGGACAATTCGACAATCGGACAATCGGACAATCGAGCCAGACCATTCGGCAATCGTAGCCGGATCAGTGCGATTAGCGAACATGTCTGACTTTAGTCAATACCGGTAGTTATCGCTTAATTGAATCAACAGCCGGCGGCACATGCACATAAACCAAATTCAGGCCCAGGCCTCAGCGCCAGGCCCCAAAGTCAAGCGCCAAAAACATTGCCAAACTCTTTATGGGGCGACATTAAAAAAGCGGCAGTCGGTGAAATTTAGTTGGCAAAAAGCCCCATAAAACAGTCGGCAGTAAATAGTAGTAAAAACAGTAACGAAGGCGCCTAATGACAGTGGAAGACTAATAGTTACCCTGTAACCAAGTGACAGAACATATTTGATATTGATCTGTTATATAGTATATAGTATATATACATATATACATATATACAACTATGCATATATACATTCTCATGAAGATAGCTCGTCTTCAAAAGAATCCATAACTATCTATAGATCTTATCCAAAATATCTACCCACATAAATAGCTAACTGCTAAAGCCGACACAGTCAAGCCTGACTGATCAGCACTAGCTACATATGCATAGACCTAATTTTCATCTCCTACACTCTTCTTCGATCATACCCCATTTCTGGCCACAGGGTGCCTAAAGAGTTTAGGCACACAAAAACTCACACACACAATCACACATACATACACTCACAAAAAAGAAAAGATCGTATGCTACGCTTCAAAAATTCAACCAACCGCGAAGAACGACCTTGAACAAGTCGGTTATAGATAGTTATATGTGTATTGGAAGACTATATACGAATCTATTCATATATATATGTATGTATATATAACTATTTGTAAGATTGCAAATTGTAGATACAGTTAAAAGCGCGCATAAATAGCATTAGATACGCGCTGCTGTTGTATCTTTATATAGATGTATTTATACACACACTTGAGCCCAAGACGAAGTCGAGAGATTGAGCAACGGGGTAGCTGCTGCGGCTGCTGCTGCGGCTGCTGCGGTGGCTGATGCCGTTGGCTTTCAAAAGTGAAGTGCGCACAGCTCAGCGCACAATTAGTTCTACATAACAACAGCAACACGTCTCGACTGGCTGCGATTCGAAAAAAAAAAAAAAAAATGAAAATTGAAAGTAACTGTGAGATACATTTTTGGCTCATTTGCTGTCGCTTCGCAGCTGATGATGACGAAATCATTCACTCGCAGAAATTATACTGCACTTAATACTCTGTAGGCAAATACACACTCACACACACACACACACACTCAATTGAGTTTTCTGCAAGTGTCACACGCTGCCAAAATGTGTTTTGCTGTTTTCTGTTCCATTTTGGATGCCAAGCCAAGTGTTGAATTCATTTTAGCTGCCAGCTGCTTTTCACAAGCATTCACTTTTAATTTCATATGAAAAGTGGTTTGAAAAGCCGTTGTGCATATAGAAAGAAATAATAGCAACGACAACAACAACAACAACAACAACAACTATCAAACACCAACTAAAACTAACTTAGTCAATAGCTCAATCGATTCTCCTTGTTGAAAGATGCTGGGCTATTACTTAATTAAAGCCGGCTTTGCTCTTTATTTTATAGCCGCTCAGACAATTTAATTTCTGTACAGCGAATAAAGTTGAAACTCATGCTGAGTCGAATACCTAGATATTGCGTCATATACTATATATATATATAAAAATACATATATATCTGTAGATATATCGAAAACATGTTGTTGATTCAGTATTCTTCATTCTTGGTTTTTGCAGGTGAAAATCTGGTTCCAGAATCGTCGCTCGAAGTACAAAAAAATGATGAAGGCCGCTCAGGGTCCGGGCACCAACAGTGGCATGCCACTCGGCGGCGGTGGACCCAATCCTGGTCAGCATAGTCCTAATCAAATGCACAGCGGTAAGTTCTTAGCATGTGCCACAGATCATAATAATATATCATAAACTAATATCATTTATTTTTCATTTATTTTCTCCCTTGCAGGCGGTAATAACGGCGGTGGCTCGAATAGCGGCTCACCCTCACATTATCTACCTCCCGGACATAGTCCAACGCCATCAAGTACGCCTGTGTCTGAGCTATCACCCGGTAAGTTTGAGGGAAATCTTTTAAAGTTGAAATTAAATAGAAAAAAAAAACTAAAATCTCTACCCTATATATAGCCAATTTTAAGCCAACACTGCTAACTGACACTCATTTTCTTTTCTCTCTCTCTCTCTCTCTCCCTTCTCTCGTTCGTGTAGAATTCCCACCCACGGGTCTTAGTCCGCCAACGCAAGCGCCATGGGATCAGAAACCGCATTGGATCGATCATAAGCCACCGCCGCAAATGACGCCACAGCCACCTCATCCAACGGCGCCGCATCCGCAATCGCACCACCATAATCCGCCACCACAAATGGGCGGCTATGTGCCCCAGTATTGGTATCAGCCCGAGACGAATCCTTCACTACTAACGTAAGTTTAAACAACTCTGAGCATAAATCACAAAACCAAGCCATTGAAACACATTTCATAGCCAATAACTAACTAATCACTTGTTAAACGCTTCTTTTCTATGCGTTCTTCTCCCTTCTTCTTCTCTTCTTCCGTGCAGCGTGTGGCCGGCGGTTTAACATCACCCAAATCAACTGCATCCGCCGACGCCTTCGGCTGCGTGGCCGCAGTCTTCGCAAACGCAATGCTATGAGACGAGGCCCTGCGCTGAACTGAATCTCCATCACAATCATCATCATCATCATCATCAGCATCAACTACAACATCAGCATCAACATCATCATCATCATCAGCATCAACATCATCATCATGATGAGGTATTCGTGGGCGTTGGTGACGGCGTCGCAGCGGTGCAGTGAGGTTGACCCAAAAATTTATATAT